GGAGTTCTTGTCCAATTTATCTCGAGCTTCTGTCTATAGTACCCTATCCTAGAATTTTTCATGTACCAACCCCCAAATGTTGAAGCTGTTTTCTTGCTTTCACTAGGCTCAGTGCTCCTGAATTCCTATTGCTCCTGGGTGACCTTACAATTCTTCTTCCTCATGTTACAAATATTTTATTGATTTAATCATCTTTTTGATGAGCTTGCTGTTTCCTGATCTCCTCCGAGTTTGCTTAAGCAATATGCAAAGTTTACGCTATTTGTGTCTTCTTACATTCCTCTGTTCATTATATTTCTTTCAATCTCTACTCTTGCGTTTCCTCGAGTCTTCACGATATGCGATCAGTCTTTCTGTTGGTATCTGGAAAAACTAGGTTTTGAAGGATCCCTTAATAGATTGATGTTGGAGTACCTTTCAATTCGTTTAAAGAGACGAGCGGAAGGGGTTCTTAAGTTGGCTCCACTGGAGGCTGAGGGGGGGTTGTTGCCTTGGAGCTGTGGTTGTAGACTTGTGCGAATTGGTCCTCGGCGCACCGCCCTGCGACCCTGATGAATCCTTGCTGAACTTCCGTCCTTTATGTGACGGACATTGCCAGAGCAAGACAGCATGCTTAACGATAATTCACCTTGGTGCTCTATTGTTTTTGGTGAATTATCGTTAAGCATGCTGTCTTGCTCTGGCAATGTCCGTCACATGAAGGACGGAAGTTAGGCAAGGATTCATCGGCGTCGCAGGGCGGTGCGCCGAGGACCAATTCGCACAAATCTACAACCACAGCTCCAAGGAAACCCCCCCTCAGCCTCCGGTGGAACTAACTTACGAATTCCTTCCGCTCGTCTCTTAAAACGAAATGAAAGGTACTGCAACATCAGTCTTTCTGTTGCATTCCAGTCTATCGTGTCATATCCGCAGAGTGTGTTCTGCTTTTTCAACTCTTGCCGTATGTATGCTTCTGTAGTCTTTGATTTTCCTTGATTCTTATGGTGATTTTTCTTCATGTATCACCCATTTTCTTTCGCTCACAGTTGCCACATATTATGCGATAAACTCCTGAGCAATCCATTCCGTCCACTTTCTCGTGTTTTCTCAACAAACTGGTGAAGTGGGCTGTATTCTCCTTCATGCTCACCTGGAAATGACATTTTATTAATATCTGTTTCAATTTTCTACTCAGTTCACATTCACTTTTGATTGTCTTTCTCATTCCTGCTTTTGTTTTAGTAATACCCACGTTTCCACTTGCTCTTTGCAATCCTCACATTTCTTTGTATGACTTCTCTGGGTTATTCGTTACTAGGGCAAGTCTAGATCAGTCAGTTTAATTATTTCCATAGCCTACGCCTCTATCATTATTCCGATATTCATTCTTTATTTTGAGACTACCAGTAAATCTGTAGTATGAGATGTATTCATCCTATTTCGTTTAAGGTGATGAAGGACTGGTAGCAGAATTTTCCCACAATGATATGAGTAGAACTCACGTTTCCATTGAATTTCACATAGCCTTGCTTTCCCAAAAGGTGTTCTCATCCAGGCACCAGTTGAATGCAGTTTCGACTTCGCATAGGTCCCAAGCGGGAGCCGAACCCTGACAGTCCAGCATGTGAACTTGACACATTCAACAATCGGCCACATTGCCACGAGTGCTCTTGGGTCACAGGGCAGATATTAATATCAAGGAAGGCCAGGCCTTTTTCCATATCACATTCTTTGGTGAGATTATCGATGAAGCAAACGTATATTTGTTATAACAATCGACTACGTTACTTATTTTTCGTATATAAGTAGAGTTACTGATTTACTGTTAGTCTCGAAACTCTACTTAAATACAAAAAATAAGTAACGTAGTCGATTGTTTTAGCAAATATACGTTTGCTTCATCGATAATCCCACAAAAGAATGCGATACGAGAAAAGGCCTGGCCCTCCTTAAAATTCACACCTCCCCTGTGACTCAAGAGCAATATGGCTGAGCGGTTAACGTGTCAAGCTCACATTTTGCACTGTCGCGGTTCGACTCCCACTGGGGACCTATGCGAGGTCGAAACTGCAGTCCACTTCAGCCAGAATAGGAACAACTTTTGGGAAAGCAAGGCTACGTCAAATTGAATGAAAACGTCAGCTCTACTCATCATTGTGGGTTAATTCTACTACCAGTCCTTCATAATCTTAAACGAAATAGGGCGAATACATCTCATATTCATTACTTAATCATGATGTAACTGAAAATTGAAGATTATTCCTTGAAATTTTCTTTTGAGTGACCTGTTGGAGCGAATGATCTCAACATCTTAGACAGGTAGCCACTCATCTTTCTCCAATTTCAATGGGAGTTTAGTTCTTTCATCGAGTCGATTTATAAAGATGAGGCGTAATTCTAAATATTTTGTACCATGCGACCAAAGTACAAACTATTTATCCAGATCCCTCATGAGCACTTTCAATATTTAGATTTTCCAAAGAATGTGAAAGTGGAGCTTCCATTCGTAGCCCAAATATTTGCTCATAGACATTCCCTTTAAATGTGAAGAAGTACGTGGTCTTTAATGTCAAATTAATCTGCCATGTTAAAGGCCCCTCTATATTTGCTCTACTTCATGGATATCCTCTTCTCATTCCCTGCAGGGTTGTGACTTCTCACCTGAGATGTTTGTGCACATGCATTTTATTTTAAAACTTATGAATGCTTCATATCCTGTCAATCCAATGTTTTGGATCTCCTGAATAATTGCATGAGTTTTTTATGGTGTTTGATAGTCTGTTGAACTTTAAGCGTATGCATTTTTCCATGTTTGTTGTTGACTATCAGCCTTAGTTGTTCTCCTTCCTTGTCTATCTTCAATGGTCCATAGGCTGATTGTGGTCTTGTCCCTTTTCTTAATTAAGCAATTCATCATCCAACCGCGGTTTCTCCGTTCATATGCATCTTTTTCAGTATATTCCATACTTCATTGAGCTTCATGCTTGGATTCTTTCTTAGTCTTTAATCAATGTTTCAGTCGCCTAGTATGCTTTCCATCTACACCGTGTATTTTTTCTGCCCATTCTCACAGTTCCTCCGCCCTTATCCACCCATGGGACTATTTGGTCGTGCTTTTGCAATCTTATGTATATTCTTGTCAATTCCCTCCTGCTCATAGGCTCATGATGTGTCTGGTTTCTCGAAATTATTTTCATGTATATCTTCCGTTTGGTCTGTTCTGAGTGTCTTTCCGAGATATTCACGACCTCCACAAGACTATTTTCCACAACATTTCCTTCGTTGTGTAGGGATTAATTCATTATCTTACCTGCATCTTTATTTAGAGCAACTGATGCCGTAAATGCAGAAACCGCTTCCTATGTATCAAGTCACTGCCCATTTGTGACTTGTCAGACATACTCAGAAGATTTTTTGATAATCCTCAGGAGTGATAATCCTACTTAGATATCGCCTGAGTTTCGGCTTTATATCCACGAACTGCAATGGCCCACGCCCATCGCTTCTATAGATTTCTTTTACTTTTTTCGTGGAAGCATGATAAGGAAGTTCATTAGCACTATCCAGTTGGCACTTCCTCATTATGCTGCAGAGACAGCGACAATAGTAAAGGCCATTTCATCTTGGTCTTTATAATTCCAAGTGAAAAACTTATCGTAGCCATGAGGACCAAGATAGTGTGGCCGGCTTTCTGTTGGGTCGCATTCGATCTTGTTTTTGCAATTTGGTCGCAGCGTCAGGGAGACCTTGTGGAACGTATCTAGTTCTGTGTCCAGCTTAATACCATTGCCTTGGTGCATTCCCAAACGTTTCGCCAGCATCGTAGTCGTCATCGTCACTTAGAGGTGGCATCGTTAGGGCAGAGTTACAACTTATCAAAGTGACAAGTGAAGGCAATCCCTCTGACCAACTTTCTGTTCAACCGTTGTGGCATCACTTCTCGCCCATGTTTTTTGTTCTACCTTCTAGCCTTGCATCTCTTTCTCCCAAACCCATTCCATATGGCCGGCCTACCCATTCAAACAATTTTTTCTCTCGTTTCCTTCGATGTCGCCTAAGAGGGTGTCGTTACAAGTGGGTTTACTGAAGCATAATCATCTCCACCACCAGTACCAGGTTCCGTTTGCAGGGCCCCTGATCTACAATCTGCCTCTTTTCTTCAATCCCGATTATCACTTGGTCGCCTCCAAGCCTGAAAACCACTGTCTGATTGTCTTAAATTTTGTCGCCTAAAAGCCCGATTTGCCATATTCGCGGATTTAGAGCATATGGTGCCCATGCCCATACTAGTGCCTGGGAATCTTCCCCTCCCTAGGCTTTAGGCCCATGACTCGATTATCCTCTCCCTCATCTCCACCCACATTGTGTCTCATTCTTTGTCACCTTATGTCCAGCTCAAGTCAAAACCGCTGGCGTTAAAATGTACCGCTTCCCTTTCTTTTTTCTTTGAATCGCGAAAAGCACACTCCTCTCGTCCTTCGAATTGACATTCCCATATGAATTTAAGGTGCTAGGATCTTCGTTTGTGTGTGCGTGTTGTCCTCCGTGGTCAAGCCTATCATTAGCTCCCTCTTCTTCAGGCACAGACACGAAATATTCACACGATCTCCCACCTTTACAACCTGGTGATCTATCTCTTGCCCACATATACCTTTAACCTTTAATTTCATATCATACCGTTAGAGCCCCTAGAAGTAAACTTTTTTAGACGATTCCAGTTTTGACCATTCATACTGCAATCGCATGTTCTTCACTTTCCTTTGTTTTTTATGAGCCGCTCCTCGGTGATGTCTCTTCATGTTGTTGAACAGTTGTCATAATTCCAAGCGTCTTCTTTTTAATGCCTTTGCTTAATTTCTAAGTCTGCCCAGACAGTACACGAAATTGTTGCTGACTCTTCCCTCCTGTTCATCAAGTTTCTTTGAAAGATTATGTCCTGATCTTCCGTTTTCTGGTGTTCTCCCCACAAGAGGCCGGCATTTCCGTTGCATTCCAGTCAATTGTGTGGCCGGTAAGGGCGATACGTTCAGCTATCTCTGATCTTTCTGTATTCATTTTTCTGCATAGTTGCTGGTGTTCTTTGATTCTTGTGCTGATTGTCTTTCTCGTCTCTTCGATTTATTTATGTTTACAGTCCTTGCAGTTTATGCTGTAAACCCTGGAGCACTCCATTTTGTTGACTTCTTCATGTTGCTTAGGCAAGCTGATAAGAGGGTTTTCCTTTATTTTGTTTCTTTTCATGTTTCTTTTCCATAGTATCGACCTCAGCTTCCCAGCCAATTCGCAGGAGGGTTGAAATATCCATCGTTTTTCCTCTGTTCATCTTGCTTTCTTTCATAATCTCCGTCTTTCCATCTGTTCATCACCATCTGTATGTTACGTTGTTTTGCGTTGTAGTACAAAACTTATTGTCAAAACTATTCCTAAATGGGACTTATTATTTGTGTATTGTTGGGATTTCTCAGTGAAGATTAT